TGCATGGAGATCTTAATGTTTACATTCAATCTCTGATTTTCTTTTCTTCAGGCCAATGTACCTGCTTGGATATATTCCTAAAGACAGTAAATTGTATCTAGCAGATAAAGACATGACTGTTGTTAGTTACTCTCTCTTACTRTCTGTCCTTGAGTATCAGACAGCTGTAATGAGAGAAGACTTTGACACAGCAAAACAGGTGAGCACATGAAGTAATCTCATCTCTTCTTTCCTCTCCTTTTGCTCTTTTACTCCGACGAAGGACTAGCGTCCGAAACGTCAGTAAGTTTTTTCATCTTTTCACGGTGTATAATTTACCCTTTTATCATTACTGTTTCATTAGAAACACCGACGCAGCTCACACTARTTTTTAGCTAGTTATCTCTTCTCCTTTATGTAACTATTCTTAAAACACTTTATGCTACTTTGATTATTTCTTCATTTCAGTTTCATTTCAGTGTTCCAATTAATTGTATAAACTAAATACATCGACACTTAAAATAAAGTTATTTATTTTATTTTATATTATCTAACGAGGCTGGTATTCCAGGAAGCAGATGGTGAACACTTTACCCCTTCTCTCCATCRATAAGCAATAGACAATAGTTTATTTAAACACGTATCATATAGGAGCTATCGCTCGTTAAAAACATGAACGTGCCAGCTCACCGTTTTAAGAGTATACAAAGCTGAAGCTTTGAAAAAAGACGTGGAGACCGTGAGTATCGAACCAGGGACCTCCAGCCCCAAAGGCAGAGCTACGCCTGCTCCTACGACTGTTCCTATTTCAATGAGCTGACTCATATTTCTATGCTATCGTTATCCTCGTTAGGTCTTGCCTACGATCCCAAGAGACCAAAGAAATCGTGTTGCTCATTTCCTTGAAAAGCAAGGATTCAAGCAGCAGGCATTGGCGGTATCATGTGATCCAGAACACAGGTACTTTAAAAGCTTATTATGTAATATTTTGCAAGATGCTGGATTTTTGGTCAGCGTTTTTTTGATACAACACAAGATTCCTCCATATGAAAAACCGGCTAGGTCTAAYTCTATTCTGGTATCGCGATTTGTTGTGAGGAAAAATTGAATGGGTTTTGAAAAACTTGAAAAAATACTTAGCAATTTTTGCAGTGAATCAACTATTTGACAAAGACTCGATAAGCCATTCGCTCCAAAAGTCTTCCAGCCATGGACCTTGATCTCACAGCGGTCACGTTTTATTCTCATGCCAATGATAACCTGTATTTCACCCACATCAATTCATTCCCAAGCACTTGAATGCGAGGYCATGTGTGGTGTAATCTATTGTTCAAACTAGCATGGCTGCCRGTGAAAAAGGTTCATTAGTGAAACACAACAACCAAGTTCTACGCCCTGGGCTTTTGGCAGTACAAACCCCGTAAGTACGTACTTACAAACCTTTTATATTTGATTTCAGATTCGAGTTGGCTGTTCATCTTGGTGAACTGAGGACTGCTTACGAGATCGCTGTTGAATCTGAGGTAAGTCGTGGTCAATACTGTGGACATTTAGGCTCAACTTATTACAGTGGCGGATCCAGGATTTTTCAAAGGGGGGTTCCGTTTCTTAAACTGTGTATAATTCTCTTTTGTTTAGTCGATGTTTGACAAAAAAATTGGCTCTAATCACCTAATTTACTATCTAGTAACGGAACTTAAAGGTAAATTAAACATTATAACAGCAAATATTTATCATTTCGTGTTCAACATTATCCTTGTGGATACTTTTAAGCAAAATCTATATAAGACATTTCTATTACCTAAAAGATCAAACCTTSAAGGGGGGTTCCGTGGAACCCTTCGAACCCCCCCTGGATCCGCCGCTGTATTACTCGGGCTAAGCGTACTAAGCCATCTCTTAAGCCCCGTTTACACTGGCGATTTTTGCTGCAATTTTTGTGGCAATTTTCGGAAATATGAAATCTTTGTCTCATCCTTCAAAAGAGACRTTCGTCTAGGAAAATCTTGGTATCCTGAAAAAAACTTTACAAGTAAATTCTTTACCATTATTTATTATGGACAAAAACGCAAAAAAATCGCCGCAAAAATCGCTAGTGTAAACGGGGCTTTAGTTTCGTTCTTGATAACCCGTTTTATGTTGGACTGAGTAATAAAGATCATCTCCTGCATACTTCTCCATACTGCTATGTAGCTACCCTGGCCACCTGCAGCCGTCCATGCAACTCTTAACTTCATTCTTTGTAACCCATTACAGAGCGAACGAAAATGGAAGCAGTTAGCAGAATTAGCTATATCAAAATGCCAGATCCAGTTAGCACAAGAGTGCCTGCACCATGCACAGGACTTTGGGGGTTTGTTATTGCTTGCCACATCATCTGGGGATGCAGATATGATCTCAAGACTCGCCATCACAGCAGCAAAGAAAGGAAAGAATAATGTGGCGTTCCTGGCTTACTTCGTTCTTGGACGGTTAGTGACCTCCTATTGTGTATATTTTGAATACTTCTTTACTCAGTACAAGGTGTAATACCTTATACAGAGCCTTTGGATTTCTATTTTTTTTTTTTTGTCCTTTATTTTCCCCTTCCCCTATGCCTACTTCTACCTCTCTCTTCATCCTCTTCTCTAATTTTTCTTTATAAAAGCTTTTAGTGCTTTGTTTGTTAGCTGTTATAAATATTGATTGTTTTTCGCAGGGTGGAAGAATGCCTGGATTTATTGTGCAGCACTGATCGGTATCCAGAAGCTGCCTTCATGGCCAGGACCTACGCACCCAGTCACGTGTCCCGGTAAGTATCACGTGGATACATCCCGTGGATGTATAAGGCACATATTGGGGTTGAAGAAAGGGCCCATCCAGAAACATGGTTCAAACATCATTAGACATCATCCTCAACATTAGTATTGCACATGTATTCACTTATAAACAGGCACACATTGGTATTGGGGTTGAACAAAAGGCCTATAGGCAGAGACATGCCTAAATCTTCACTAGATATCACCCTAAACATTAGTATTGCCCACGTATTCACACCAATATTATTTAACTTGTTACTTCTACTTGTGTGCCATTGTCGGTAACGTTTGTGCAATACAGACTTGGCTRTTGCACTAAGGGTCAGGGCAGGGAGTAGTCTCCCCCACAGCCGCTTTCAGTGTCGTCACGCAACGCTTTCTCCCCTGAGTAGCTACTCAGGGGAGAAAGCGTTGCGTGACGACACTGAAAGCGGCTGTGGGGGAGACTAGGCAGGGAGATGATACAAGCCCTTACGTTATTGAGCAAAATGCAGGTTAAGTTCAGGTGATGTCAAAAMTTATTCTTGGACACAAAAATAGATTTCAAGAAATAGGAAAAAAAACATTGATCATGCAAGACATGTATCGACAGTACATACTGCCAAATTGCATATATTTTCACATTCCACCTTATACACTGTATGTAGTTATGTTTATCACTAACATCCGACTATGATTAATACTGTCTTGGCCCTCATATTTAACTTATCGTCCATCTTTTTGTGTAGAATTGTGAAATTATGGAAAGAAGACCTCGAGAAAGTCAACAAGAAAGCGGCTGAGTCTCTAGCTGATCCATCAGAGTATGAAAATCTGTTTCCCGAGTTCCAAGAAGCAGTCATGGCAGAGAAGTTCTTGAAACAGGAGAGGATGAGCCTYAAGCCTGCTATGCAATACAAAAACGTACCGGTTAGTAGAAGATCATTGTACTGGTATTCAGGACTGAGCACTCCTGAGCCACGCTTGGAAAGTACCCGCCACCCGGTTAGCTCAGTTTGTAAGAGCGTCGGTCTGTTGCAAGACGTAGTGGTTCAAGCCTTGGCTGGACCAACACTCAGAGTCTTAAAATAACTGAGGAGAAGGTGCTGCCTTTGTAATAACATCTGCAAATGGTTAGATCTTCAAGTCTTCTCGGACAAGGACTTACAGGCCCATCTGTCTTCACTATATAACCCTGTAGAAAGCGGACGTAAAATATGTGTCTCGTAAGACCGAGTTGATGGCGGTCSCGCCCCTAATTAAAAGTTAAAAGAGGACCACGAGTTTAACAGTTGAATTAGTGTCTGCTGTTATCCTATATAAACAAAGTTATTGTTTTAAAGTAACAGCAGGCTGCAGACAATTATACGAATATATAGCTGTACGTTCTTTTGTAYAATATACTTATGGAGACTTGTGTAACTTTCACACTCTATTTTATTTCAGAATAATTGCGAAAGAGATGTTTTCCAGGAGATTAAGGCTGCTCAGGAGAATGGAACTTTTGACGCACTTGTTGTAAGTGTTATAAATAATAAACACAGCTGTAAATAATAATTAAATAAATCAATAGGATTTAGCAGTGGCATTTCCACACGCAACCTTGAGAAAACGGTCTATTGGAATTTGGAAGGTGAAGCATATTATAATAGAATAGGCCCTTCTTAGCCGATTCCAAGTCGCCATATGCAAAGGACTTACCTTGGCCGTCCTTAGATTTTCTATCATTAGGATTCTTTAGATGTTTTGAGAACATGCAGCCCCCTGGTTTTAACTGGGACTTCTCAAACTAATAAATAACTCATGAGGTCAATGACCAATGGCGACTTTGCATTGTAGTCACGTGCACGCACCTTGATACTTGATCAAAGACGGATCAAGACACTGATCAAAACACTATTCACTTTTTTAGTCTCACGAGATTCAAGAACAAATGAATTATTAATGAGAAGTTCATAGTGGGACAACTACCATACCATGCTATCCCACTCCTCCAAAAAGCAAACCCCAATGCAATAGGGGCAGCAGCGCAGCGCAGCCGTGACGTCATAAAAACGAAAACAAAGGCGAAATTCGGACAAACAAACTTACAAGTTTTTACTTTCAGCAGATAATTTTCACAGCCGATCGCAGGTGATGTTAGTTTACATGGGTTCTTATTGTAACTTTAAGTAAAAATAATAAAATCGGTTCGTACAATCCTCGTAGCGGCTAAACAGAATGCAATGTTTGTCYGAATCTTTAAGCTATTTTTAGGATCAGCGCGCTGCGCTATTGATATGTGTTTTCTGGATTGAGAAAAGCTCATTTAATTGTTTCTTCACATTACCAGTCAGCAGCAGATGGCTTGAGGATTGCAGACCTGGAGGAAGAGATGAATAACGTTGATACACAACCTCCTATATTCAGTGTTCCACCTGAACCAACACAACCTAGGCCTGCGCCACCACCCCAGGCCGCACCTTTAGTGGCAGAGCCTGCGCCAGAGCCACCCTCGCCATCATCGTCCAATGAAGTAAATCTACCTTCAAGTACAAATAAACCATTGCCTACTGATGATAAGGTAGTTGAAGCTGTTATGATTTGTTGGTCAGTCCCAGTTGCTTAGGGAAGGACGGGGGGGGGG